ATATCATTTCATTTATTTCAGTATATTTAATACACATATTCCATTAATTATTCCATTCATATTTAAACAAGAAAATCAGCATTCCAATCCTAAAAGTATTTCAATATATTTAATAAACATATTCCATTATTTGTTACAATTATCTCTATGCATAAAGGAAAAGAGCATTGAATTCCATTATCAAAAAATAGCAGTTCTATTTTCCATCTTATCAATCTATATGTCCCCATTTCACAACTACAAATTTATTTATGTTACCCCCCCAGCATCTTGCCGAATCCCCTCTCCAAATATCAATCACCCATTATCTCTATGTCTAATTAAAACAATTTTTCCCATTTTTTTGCAGTTCCCAATTTCTTTGTTCCCAAGTCCTGTTTCTTATCCCTTTCTTTCCCCTTGTATTCTCCCCTTTATTCTCACTCCAGTTTTTATTCCCCTCTCTATTTATAACTTCCTTCTGCCCTTCGAATTTCTGCTGATTCTTTTTCCCTTTTTTAATTTTCCAGATATTTCCCTCTTTAGTCAACTTCCCAAATCTCCAATATTTATTTCCAACTCTTTTCCTCTTTCTTTCCAGAGTTCTTTGTTCTCGATGATAATTAAAGATGGCCCCTTCTATGATTTGCTCCACCTCCTCTTCTGTCCTTGGTCTTTGTTGTTCATATTCTGCAATGGCGTTTTCAATGAATTTTCAAGAAAAGCCCAGCGTTTCACCTCATTCATGTAATATTTCTTTTGTGTTTCTAAGCTCCATTTTTAACGCCAGAAGAGATATTGCCATTTTACAGCTTTCTAATTAGCAATTTAATCCAAATAGTGTCTTTAAAGTTAATTTCCAACAGTCAGCTTTTATTTTCTTCCTCAGGTTTTAATCCTCAACTAATCCAATGCCAAATCCATATCAGAATCAACAATTAATCCAAGGGCAGAATCTTCCTGTTTCTTTCTTTGTTTCAATGTTTCAATTTTTCAAAGTTGTTTTATTGTATCAATTTTCCTTACAATTTTAAGAAACAGAGTCTTTTGAAAGAAAAACAAGTTAGATTTAACTCAGATGGCACTCTTTGTTATGACAAATCTACACCCCCTCTTTTCTTTTTTCTTCCCAATTATTCAGAGCTTTTTAAACCACAATCTTCCAAATAAAGGTCAAATGCAATTGATATTAGATTTTCTCTTTAACAATCTATAGTTCAGCTTTATTAGTGCCTATATAGAATCAAAATATACTTATCCAAATTGATTAGATTCCCCAGCTTCCCCAGCGTCTACCTTTCTCGGTTCAAAGCCCTGACGCTGTCAAAAGCAATTCACACCTTTCTCTCTCTCTCTTTCTATTCTCCGCTTTAAGTCCTTTCTTGAAAATTCTTTGAAATGTTAATCCTGGGAGCACCTTCCATTTAATTGTATCGTCCTGTTCCTCCTGCTGTTCGCTTCTTTCTCTCTCTCCTGCACAAACTTATTCCAGTCTAATCTTCCCCTTCAGGGTGGCCATTTTAGACCACCGCTTCAGGCATCTTCGAGAAGGAACAATTGCCAAGCCGGGGAGGGGATTTGGGACTCCCCTCTACCCAGCTGATGGTCTCCCCTTCCTCCGCCTCCCCTCCAAGGTGGCTTCTGCCCCAAATCTGCTTGATCAGGGCTCTCCGACACCAAAGCACAGACCAAAGCTGCGTACAGTCATGGTCAGCGGTCTGTCTTCGGGGAAGCTCAAAACCAGCTAGATGGTAGTTTTTGCAGTATAAAATAATTAAATAATATTTATTGTACTGTAAGATCTCTACACTTGAAAAGGGATAGCAAGACAAAAATGTTTTCCTGCATATGATGCAAAGATGAAATTTTAAAAAAGTTTTGGAGTAATAACATTTTTAGGGTATGCTAAAAATATTGCAACAAAATGTATTACAAAAACTATTTTTCTTTGTATCTGGGGTGGGACTTCAAATAGTGGTGAGCTACATGACTATTAGCAAACAGAAGCTGACAGTTCCCCACCTCTGTTTCTGACTACCAAATGAGAATTTCTTCCATAAAGAGTTTATGTCTATTAACTGAAGGGGAAATTTTAGAAGAAATTTGGAAAAAAGCAAGCATGGTCAATTCTGAAATACAACCTTTGAAGAAAAAAGTAGTAAAACCTAGAAGCAAGGGAGGAAGATTTAGGGAGATTCTATACATATCATACCAAGAAAAAGGCCAAAAGCCTTATTAATAAGCACACACAACAGATATCCTCAAATTATTGTAAACGTCAAATCTGCGCCAATCTGATCCCTTAGGAAAGAAAAACCCTCAACTCCATTTGGATGAAGTGATAGGGTATTTTTACTAAAGGACACTGGTTACAGCAAAGTTAGACTAGAACTAAGTTTCCTGTATGAAAATATACAAAAAGTTTAGAATAGAATAGAATAACAAAGTGGGAAGGGACCTTGGATGTCTTCTAGTCCAACCCCCTGCCTAGGCAGGAAACCCTACACCACTTCAGACAAATGGTTATACAATACCTTTTTAAAAACTTCCAGTGTTGGAGCATCCACAACTTCTGGAGTTGTTCCACTGATTAATTGTTCTGTCAGGAAATTTCTCCTTAGTTCTAAGTTTCTTCTCTCCTTGATTAGTTTCCACCCATTGCTTCTTGACCTGCCCTCAGGTGCTTTGGAGAATAGCTTGACTCCCTCTTCTTTGTGGAAGTCCCTGAGATATTGGAACCCTGCTATCAGGTCTCCCCTAGTCCTTCTTTTCATTAGACTAGACATACCCAGTTCCTGCAACCGTTCTTCATATGTTTTAGCCTTCAGGCCCCTAATCATCTTGGTTGCTCTTCTCTGCACTCTTTCTAGAGTCTCAACATCTTTTTTATATCATGGCAACCAAAACTGAATGCAGTATTCCAAGTGTGGCCTTACCAAGGCATTATAAAGCGGTATTAATACTTCACGTGATCTTGATTCTATCCCCTTGTTTATGCAGCCTAGAACTGTGTTGGCTTTTTTGGCAGTTCCTGCATGCTGCTGGCTCATATTTAAATGGTTATCCACTAGGACTCTGAGTTCCCTCTCACAGTTAGTACTATTGAGCAAGGTACCACATATACTGTACCTGTGCATTAGATTTTTCTTGCCTAAATGTAGAACCTTACTTTTTCACCATTGAATTTCATTTTGTTAGATAGCGCCCAATGTTCAAGTCTGTCAAGATCCTTCTGTATCTTAAACCTATCTTCTGGAATGTTGGCTATTACTTATCCCAGCCCTCCCCCCATGACCACTCCATCTTCAGCCAGTGAAGATCCACCTAGGTGTTTTGAGAATGCTGACGTGTTTGAGGTAATCCACATTCTTTTCTCCGGGTGCATGGCCTTGAGTGCTGGCACAAACTGGTTCCAAGTTGCTCTTTGTCAAATTGTCATTCCCCCCTTCCTAATTCCCATCACATACCAATACATGTTTATTGCCCATTTGTTCCCCCCATGCTCCCTCCCTCCTAGCCTGACAGTAAAATTCTCCTATGAGTGGCCTGAAAATCCTTACAAATTTCATTTCCAATGTGATCAACTACAAGTTTTGCAATATTATTTGCAATAGTTATTAAGGTTAATGCATTTGTGGGGAGACAAGGTGAATTGTATCTTTCATTTAAATCAGGGGTAGTCAACCTTTTTATACCTACCGCCCACTTTTGTATCTCTGTTAGTAGTAAAATTTTCTCTAACCGCCCACCGGTTCCACAGTAATGGTGATTTATAACCCCTACCGCCCACCATGAAAGCTGGAACGCCCACTAGTGGGCGGTAGGGACCAGGTTGACTACCACTGAGTTAAATCATAAAAATATTCTTCTGTTGAGCCATGGCTAGCCTTAGAATGGGAAATCCTTGATCCTGCACATGTGGAGGCAATAGATCCCAACTGGGCCTGGAGTCACAAGGCAATCATGATGGGAGCAGGAACCAAGGTAAGGGACTAGGATCAGTGACAGACAAGTTCAGATATACACACAGCTACTGCTACGCTATTGTACTCAAGGAACGAATGTGGGTCTGTTGCAGCAGATCCTGTTTCCAAATCAGGACACAAGACCACGAAGGGTAGGAGAATACAGGTTTATTTGCGCAAAAGGTTCAGAGCATTAGCATGGCAAATTCTGAACCCCCGGCTATTCCTGAGGGGTTACTTTTATGCAGCTCCCAGTCTCAGCTTTTCCCAGGGCGTACTACAATAGGGGGAAGTAAGTCTAATTAGCCATTTTGCACAATTCAGCATATAAATACTTGTCTTACACCATCTGTTATTTTCCATGCCCACCTTTGCCACCCTTGCCATTTAGCTGTTTACATGGAACATATCTAATTCTTAGACTTAGATTCAGCAATTTTCTGGTTTTCACAATATTATATTAAGCAACTTCTATAATATTTGCGATATAAGCTAAGAAACTTCTGCTAATTATAAGAATACTTTTCTGGTAACTTTCCATTCTGCTTCAGGTCAGGCCCTATTTCTCAAACCTAACCTATCTTACAGGGTTTTATGAAGTTAAAATTAAGAGGAGGAAGGGTATTTTTACTGCCATAAGTTGCTAGATAAAAGGAAGGATGGATGGATGGATGGACAATCAAAGAATTTTTCCACCTCCATAATTAAATAGAAAAAAATATTAAAAAATAAATCCTTGAAATGAATCCAATTCCAAGAATAGCTCCATCAACAAAAGAATTTGAGCACATCATTTTTAAAAATGGGAATTAATTAAAACAAACATTTGTGTCCAGGAATTGCAATCAGATATTCACGAGGACAAATGCTTTCAAACGGGAAAGGCAGGGAGGTGGTCTTAGTGCTTTAACATCATGAATATTCCAAGGAGGCTTTTTTCCTACCTAGGGAAATTCTCGTTTTCTTCTGGTAATATCCTGTTGGGTGTGTCATGGGATTTCCAAAGCAGCTGGAGTCTTCTATATAAGGCAGTGAGCTGAGCAATAGGCCAACAATCAACAAGTGAAAGCTGCAGAGTGTCAATTTAAAGCTCGAGTTTGCAGAAGACAACAAGACAACTATTCTGTTCATCTAACTAGAACTAAGATTTCACATTCCACAGTTGCTATTGGTAAGTAAAAAAAAATAAAAAATTGAAAGCTTTTTTTAAATTTTTCAAAGGATGCCAAAGGGAAAGTTGAATAGAAAAAGGACACGTGAGTAATAACAACATTCATTCCATCTTAAAACTGCAATTTGCTAAATTTCTTTTAGAAAATACATTTATAATGCAGGATCAAAGAATAAAAGTATTATTTATATTATTAAATATATATTACTTTTCACATTAATCTGCCCTTTAAAATTAAATTATAAATTCAACAGAGAACTAATGCCAATCTGAATTTTCTTAAACATATATATATAAGTCTAACGTACAGAATGTAAGTCTCACTTCATGAAATTCATACTTTATATTCTTATGGCATGTCCAGAAAGTAATTTTCTCCTAATGATTGAATTGCAATTCTCAGAATTCCCAGCCAGCATAGCTAATTGCCCTTTAATATAACAAAATGCCAATCGCTGGGAATTGTCATTTCAATTCATTTGGAAGGCAGATTAAACGCTGGGGAAGGAATAAGCTATTTTAACTCCATACTTTAAAAAGTATGCATGCAGAATGTTTTCACCAGTTCAACGCCTTTCTAGCTCCAGTTTGTATTTACAGCATTCAAATGTTTTAAATAGATTCAGACTAGCTCTCTTGAAAACGTGTAATCCTGTAATCTCATTGACCAATCTGTTGCTGATAACTGGGAGAGGAAAATGAGAGGGAAAAAGAACTTTGTGTGTCAGAAGGCTGATGAGGTTTAAATGCTACTTTTGTTTGGATTTCAAGTTTAATATAAAACTGCATGTGAATTGTATGTTTTTATTTACACACACATACACACACATACAAACACACTTGAGAAAACCCATTACTTCTTTTATCAATTTAGAACAACCTATTATTTTAATTGTTTTTTAATCCAGACACTGCAGAACTATCAACAGGAACAAAGCTAGAGGATTTAAAGATTGTTTCTGCTGTGATGAATACCTTTCACTTTCTCTCCATTCTTTGCTATGGTAAGTGAGTATTTCAAATCTTAGGAGCCTTTCTGACTGAGTGGAAGCAACATTTCTTACTGTAGGTTTCTTTTCACTGAAATAGGAATCTTATTTTATACTTTTTAAAAATTACACTAATAATACAAAGTAGAAAAATATTTTGGCTAAAAACAGACAGCAAACTAATGTCAAAAATACAGGATATTTCCTATATTTTATGTTTGTGTGAGGGTGAATGATATCAAAAATTTACCAAGATCTGCTTAATGATGTTCTCTCATAGTGGTTTCCAAACTGTCTGAAGGAGAAAGTTATCACCAGATTCATTTTTCTCTTTTTTATTATTCTCAAAACTCAGACTATCGTTTTTGTCTGTTTCCTCTTTCTATCTTTTCTAGATCACTTGTTATATTTCATCCACTTTCTTTTCATTCTGTTTTCTTAATCAAGTCATTTGTTTCCATTAAAAACATGCTTTAGGTTCCATTCCATATTAGAAGTCCAGTCTAGGCATATGGCTGGTAGTTTTGTGCTCTCTTCCTCTTCCATCCAATTCATAGTTATCTCCCATCTGTTTTTTAAACCAAAACCATTCCTCTTCCCATAGCTATCCTCCCTACCTTTATTTCTGTCTTCTTTTAGCATGAACTACATTTCTGGTCTCTAGGGCTTAGTTCAGATAGCTAAATTCTAACAGCACAGTATAAAAAAGATGTTGAGACTCTAGAAAAGTGCAAGAAGAGCAACCAGGATAATTAGGGGACTGGAGACTAAAACATTTATTTTATTTTATTTTATTTTATTTTATTTTATTTTTTATTTTATTTATTTATTTTTACTTTACTTTACTTTACTTTACTTTACTTTACTTTACTTTACTTTACTTTACTTTATTTTGTCAAGCGATTATAACAGGTATAAGTATAAACATAGTTATGAATACATGATTATAAGATAACAGGTGAGGTATAACAAGTATAAGTATAAACATAGTTATGAATACATGAAATGGATACAGATAAGAAAAAAGAAGAAACAATAGGACAGGGACGGTAGGCACGTTGGTGCGTTTATGCAGGGCCCCTAATATATGAACAACGTATAAAGAATAAGATATGAAGAACGGTAACAGGAACTGAGTTTGGCTAGTCTATGAAGAGAAGGACCAGGGGAGACATGATAGCAGTGTTCCAATATTTGAGGAGCTGCCACAGAGAGGAAGGGATCAAGCTATTTTTCAAAGCACCTATAGGCCAGACAAGGAATAACTGAACAAGGAGAGATTTAACCTGGAAATAAGGAGAATTTTCTGACAGTGAGAACCATCAACCAGTGGAACAGCTTGCCTTTGGAGGGGCTTCATCACTTGTGGGAGCTTCATCACTTGAGACTTTCAAGAAGAGATTGGTCTGCCATTTGTCAGAAATGGTGTAGTGTCTACTGCTTGGGCGGAGGGTTGGACTAGATGACCTACAAGATCCCTTCCAACTCTGTTAATCTGTTAAAACAACCATTTGTTATTCTGTCTTGTTTTAGGACTTTTATTATTTAAGGTTAGCAATGGTTGGACATACCACGCATCAGAGGAAAATATGAATTACACCAAAGCAGAGAAATGGTGTAAAACCCATTTCACAAACCTGGTTGCTATTCAGAATAAAGAGGAAATTCACTACTTAAATGCAACATTTCCTAGAAATTCAAAATATTACTGGATTGGTATCCGAAAAATTGAGAATGAATGGAGATGGATTGGAACAAACAAGCAACTGACAGAAGAAGCTAAAAACTGGGCTGACGGTGAACCAAACAATGGAAAAACGAATGAGGACTGTGTCGAGATCTATATAAAACGAACAAAAGATTCAGGAAAGTGGAATGATGAACCATGTTATAAAACTAAAAGAGCTTTGTGCTATAATGGTATGGATTGATATCACTCTAATTACTGTTTATACTGTTTTTAGTAGGAAAACTACATATTTATTTTTAGGATTGTTGTAAACATTGAAAAATAAGGGGTTAGATTCAGATTGAATCATTCCTGATGTAAAATTGTAAATCAATTATATGTCTCAATGGGACATCTGGTAAGAATATATTTGGAGTAATTTCATTGTATAGATTTTGCTTCTAATATTCCAAAGAGCTATACTAAAAAAATGTTCAACGTCAGATGTAATAATTGTTGCTGGCTATAAATGGAAGTCCAATCAAATTAACATTGGATGTATCTTGTGAAGTGCAAAGATATGGGGTTATTATGGGGAAGTCATATGAAAGAAATTTTGGAAACAGTTTTGCATGAAAGCAAGAATTTGGAAAAATCTATGTAATATATGGAAATAGTTGTTCCTGTTTTTTTTTCCATTATGGAAATTTTTTTCCACTGAAATTTGTACAATACAGCAGACAGCTTTTAAAAAGAAAAAAAGAAACAGCACCAAAAGGACAAAAAGCCCAAAAGGGGAAAATGAACCTCCAAGATAGAAACATAGTTTTTTTCCTCTTTTCTTCTTAAAGGGAAATACCTTATTGTACTATTGTGTTATAATAGCCATAATATCATTACTGTAACGTTTTCACAATATAATCTGCTTAATTGTCTTGCAGCTTCTTGTACTCCAAATTCCTGCAGTGGTCGTGGGGAATGTATTGAGACAATTAACAATTACACCTGCCAGTGCAACAAAGGGTTCTATGGACGTGACTGTGAACATGGTATGATTAATTAGTCATTTAGTTAGTTCAAACTCATTGTGGATTTCCCATTCTGTCCATTTGTTCCACTTTGGAACAAATGCCTTATCCAAACTCTTCTGTTCTCTTGTAGTAATTTCTTGCAATCAACTGGAAGACCCAGATCAAGGTATCTTTATGTGCAAACATCCAATACAGGATTTTGGCTTTAATTCTTCTTGTGATGTTCAATGCAAGGAAGGTTACAAACCAACTGAGATGGAATCAATAACATGTACAGATTCTGGAAAATGGTCTGCACCATCTCCATTCTGTAAAGGTATGTACATTTGACTGCTGAAACCAAATGAAAACCAAAGAGAATTGTCTAAGTCTGTGTTGTAGAATTAGAAGCATTTTATTCAGCTGTCAAAACATTTTTGCGCTACCTTCAGTTAAAATCATGACTGTGTCTCAAGATACTCTGAACAATTCTTTAAGTCACCAAAGGTGGATTTTATTTTACCAATACACTAAGGTTTTATGCATACAAATGCATTCTAAGCTGAAACTTTGTTTTTTCGTTAGTTATTTCAGGTAGTTAGTTATTTCTGTTGGTTAGATTGGAAAGATTATCACATTAAATAAACACAGGAATGTAATAATATGAATTGCATTCTATTCTACATTCTATTATCTGTCACTTATTACAGTCCCCGACTTATGACCACAATTCACCCTAAAATTTCTGTTGCTGAAAAAGACAAATGTGAAGTGAGTTTTGCCCTATTTTACAACCTTTGTTGCCACAGTGAATCACTGCAGTTATTAAGTTAATAACAGTTATTAAGTTAATAACACAGCTGTTAAGTGGATCTGCCTTCCCTACTGACATTGCTTATCAGAAGGGGGCAAAAGGTGACCACATGCCTCCCAGGATATTGCAACTATCAGAAATACATGCCATTTGCCAAGCATCCAAATTCTGATCACGTGAGCATGGGAATGCTGCAAAGGTTGTGAAAAGCAGTCATAAGTCACTTTTTTCAGCGCTGTTGTAACTTTGAACAGTCACTGATAAATGACTGTAAGTCGAGGATTGTATAATATTTGTTATTGTGGAACACAAATTTTGTAAGTATTCTGATGACGAATTCACAGCTTTAGTTTGTGTTCAACCAATAAGGATTTGGTTGACCAAGGAAGTTGCCTAA